GGTTTCTCCTGTTTTTTAAAATTATATAAAAAAAACCCCCTTTTTTGGAAAAAAAAGGGTTTAAAAAAAAAAAAAAAAAAAAAAAAAAAAAAAAAAAACATGTTTTAGTGTGGTCAAGGCTCTGAAGCACCGAAGGCAAGCCCACCTCCTCAGGAAAACTCACTCCTCACTCTTCAGGCTTTGGAATCCAGATTACAGGTGAGACTGAAACACATTTTAGAAGAACACCCAAAAAACTAGTATTTGTGTTAACAGCCTGACAGTACCACTCAAATGTCTGCATATTAGATGCATAATTCATAGGAAATTACGCGTATACACTGCCTGACAATCGTGTGGATACTGCTTGAACTTTGCTGGTTTACCACATAAAATCCCAATGCAAATACTCTGACATGCGGTGTTGTAACATAATAACATGTGAAAAATTCAAGGAGTATTTTTTTTTCCTTAATTAATTTAAAAAGCCATTTCTAGGTTGTGTGTATTGAAAAACAGAGTGCATCATATTCATGTTAGGGTATGTCTGTGAGGTTTGAATATCTTGACATTGACCTCTGTTCATTCATTTGGTGGTTCATTATGCATGCTGGTTGTAAGGATTTCTCTCAGTCAATTATTATTTGTAATTTAGAGTGGATTGATCGTCCTTCAAGAGCTTGAAAGAGAAGTGAGAGTGAAGGACAGAGTTCTGCAGCAATCAATCCAAGTCCTTACTGACGTGCTTTCAGGGGGGGAGACTGTTCTCAGCCAGCCTGAGCAGGTACTGTTCACGCACTTGTTTAACTTTTAAAAACTGGCTGATTGCACAGGCTCGCTAACTAGCAGTCATCCAATTAACAGCTGCTTGTGTATTCATGTTATGCTGCACATGATGTCACTTAGGAATAATGTACTCTGTAAAATGCTCTCAGAATGACAAGTGACCAAAATAAGTAGCTTTTTGTAATAGTGTTTAATTTCCACATTGTCGTGAAGCTATATTGATGAAAATGTGCATAAAAATGGCATTACAGTCACAGTAACTGACACCTCTAGTAATCCCTAATGATTAAATGTAACTGGATCAATCATGTCATAGATACTTAGCAATGCTGAGTTGATTTTAATTTGGAATCCAGGATTTCATTTGTTCCTCGAGGTGTAAATGTGTATAAATTATGCAAGACGAAGGGCCGTGACTCTTCAAAACGGGAATGATAAGAAACATGCTATTTAAGAAAGGCCCACATGCCTTGATCTTAGTGCAGAGTTCCTGTGAAGACTGGAAAAGTGCAATTTGGAATATGTGATCATGTCGGTGTTTAATGTATACCTGTGGAGCAATATTGATATATTGCGATCATGATACACCTGCAATATATTATGCAGCTCTGATTTCATTTCATTTTTCCTTCCTTTTTCTTGTTTGCTTGCTTTCTTTTATGCTCTTCCTAATGTCTGTCTGTCCGTTCGTCCGTCCATCTATCCCATACATTAAACCTAAAAATAAAAATAAAGCTGCTTTTTTTATTTTTAGTCAGATTATCTTTAGCTAAATTTAAAATTAATCTGATCCAAAACACATATGTGTGACCCAAAAAAAAGCAAACAGAAGAAATCTGCAGGGGTGTGAAAACTATTCTTCACAGCATTGTAGAACACCACAGGTCTAAAATGTGGGAGCACCTTCTTGTTTTTCTTCATCTGGCCTTTCTTAAAAACACATAATGGGCTCTGTAAATGTGGAGATGCATGTACAGCATAATACAACTTTGCTTTTATTATTGTGTATTCAGGTGCAAGTATATTTTAGCATTATCATAGCTAAATAAATGTTAACATAGGAAAATAGTGGCTTAGTTGTAGGGTTAAGGAAATTTTGCTCCTGTACAACCGTACAGGAGTAAAAAAACAAATGAAAAAAATTACATTTGAATAGTATGTAATAGGTTGTTATGCCGGAAGAGCTTGCTTTGAATAAAGTAAAGTCGAAACAAGAAAACCTCAAATATTTTACAATTGCAGTAAAATTAATTCAGTTAAATGTCTTCAGACAATATTTATTTTTTGTGCAGTCTTTATCTTAATAATTCCAAACTTTTGCCCCATCCTCATTCAGGCCCAGTTTCAAGAATAAATCTACTTTTAGTTGAAGGAGGATGTTTTATGTATGCGGCGCAATGTTGTAGAGTTATGAGGACAGCGTCAGTTTCTAAGCAGGAGTGGTGAGAAAAATATATCTTTTTTAAATCCTGCACATTGTTTTTTTTTGGACAGCTTCCCCACCCTATGACACTGGCATTTCTTCTTGGGGTGCAAAACCTTGAAGGGAGAGTAGTTCTTGAACAACCAGTCTTCCAGCCCAACCCTTATGTGTAATTCATGTAATGTCATGTTCATGTTATGAGCTGACGAAGATGTAAGATGATCTTAAATTTCAGATACATTTCTTATGTTGCCATTTTTTCTTTTTTTTTTTTTTTTTTTTTTTTTAGATATTTTTGCAGTCAGGGAATAGAATTAATTCATTTCTAAACTGTCCATTATCGTATGATTATTTTTACAAGTTCTTTACGCAATTTACCCTGACAAATATTTGTTCTGCACTGGGTGACGAGTAGTAGAAATTGAATTAAAACTCGTCTGAACAAGTACTTTCTGTCACGTGTTCGCCCTGCTCAATGAACAAAAGAAAATGGTTTTACTGAAACAAAGAGCTGGCAAACAGTTTTGTTCCCTTCAACCAGAATGTTTCAGTGCAAGTAGCTCGACTGGCTGAATTAAAGGGATAGTTTGGATATTTCGAAACCGTATTCTGGGCAGCTGTTAAACGAAGTAAAAGTCTGCCGCGGTCAACTTGACTCTCCAGTGATCATCCAGAGTTGTACATATTGCAGACTGCTCCGAAGTTCTCCTATTCCAGAAGACCTAACTGTAGTAAGGATGCCGTTACCCACCTTTGCACAATTGTCAAACTATAGTATATATACTCGAGGGCCAGCGTCCTTCAACTTTTAGGCGCGTTTCTTTGTCAACACGCCTGAAACACATAATTTGGTAATTGGCATGGCTCTGTCTAACCTGACGTGAGAAGGTAATTTAGTCCTTTGGATCAGGTGTGGTGGACTTGGGAAACATCTAAAAGCTACAGGATGCCAGCCCTCAAGATTGCCCTCCTGGATTGAATTAGAAGTAGAAGTAAAGGTATTCATCAGGCTACATATTTGACCTATCTTCTTGTATTAAAAATGGCAAAGCTCGCTTAATTTAGTGCTTTTCCAGGGTTTAAAGGATTATTTAGAATTGTTTAATAGGGCTTAGATTAGGACCTTTCCAGCAGCTTAGCAATATCCCGCTTTGGCCATTCTAAAATCTGTTTAATGTGTGTTTGGAATGGTTTTACTGGTGGAGCATCTAGCTGCGTCCAGGTTTCAGTCGGATGGCTATTTTTTTGGGGTCAAGATGAATAATCACAAGGGAGTTCTTCTTTGATCTATCTTTTTTTTTTTTTGTAAAATGCACCAATAACAAATGGCCCCTCTGCAAAGAGGCACCTTGACTCCCTCCAACCTATTTCTTGTCATTGTTTTCAATGTGGACAATGTTTTTCTCAATCATTGTCTCATCTGACCATAAAACATTTCTCCTGAAGACATTCAGGTTGTCTGTAAGTTCATTTTCAAGTTTTAGTTGATATTCTAGGTGTTTATTTTTGGAGGAGGAGCTTCCTTCTTGTTGATCTTAAACTCCCTTTACAGTCAAAAGATGCCTTAGTGGTTCCAGCAGTAACTGGTTCCTGCATTGTTGCTGATTCATCTGACCAATTTCCTTTTATCTGAGGCTGGCACTTTGCGTCAGATGTCTGAAACTTTTACACAAACAATATTCTGATCTGTGTCGGGAAAAGAACCAAGATTTCTAACACATGGTGATGTCAGGGTTTTTTTTATTTATTTATTATTTTTTTTTTTTTTATCGTTGCTGAAGCAGGAGAGCAGAACAGCAGATACATGACGTCTTTGGCTGATGCTGAAAGTAGCATGAAGTTCTTAAACTTTGCTGGTCAGCTCAGTCGGTTTTCCCGGATTATGCGCTGTTACACCGGCATATTCAAAGGTGTTAACCATTTAGCATTTCCCAATAGATACTCATCAACATAAAACATAATTAGTAAAAAAATTTAAAAAAAGTCAAAATTAACTGATTAAAAAACATTGTAGTATGACATTGTTTCAGTTTTGCAGCAGTACTCTTTAATTTCAAATAGGGTGGAGAAACGTTTACTGCGATTGTGCCTAAAAAGCTAACTGAAATGTTTGACATGAATTGCTGCTGCTGCTGCTGTTGCTGCTAGTTGTGTCACCCATCTGTCATTCTTGGTTACGGTCTCTGTGCTCTCTGTCTAGGAAGGCCTTGTTGCCCTGTGGGACAGTGATGAAGAGTCCAATGATGAGACTCCGGATGACAAGTTGCATGAAACGCCAGCGCTGTCTTCCAGACCTAAAATTGACAAGCTGTGGCATCGCATCACTGAGGAGCAGCTGGTTGTTGGACTGATACTAACCGCTGACAGTGCCATGTAAATATGATTTTTTTTTTTTTTTTTTTCATGATTTTGTACATCGTGTAGATTTGTCTGCGGCTGGAAGAGCATAGATGTACAAAGCACTGACTGGATCATAATTTCCTCTAACCTGTAGTTGCATAGCGTTTTCTGGGTTGACGGTTTTTCCCAGCATCCTGTCAGACTAAAGTTGGCAGGGCGATCGTCATCATCTTGTGTGGAAACGAGAAACTCTCTGATACCTTCGTCCGCGTGTTCTTGCGTTACTTTGAGAAGATGTGAAGAAAAGCTCCTCTTGACACGACTGCCTCCGGCGCTCGTGCGGTTTTGTTTTTCGTCGCCGGTCTTTGCGGCTGATGCAACCTCACCAGCTTGTTGGTGTTTAATCAGTCCACCAGCTGCGCCACATTCACACCGACTCCAACTTTGTGTTTAATTTCCAGTTTGATCGTGGGCTATCTGTGTGATATCTGATTGTTCATGATGGTGTTATTTTTGTTCCAGACCAGCGAGCGGTGTGAGCTTATCCCTCCTGACAGAGCCGGGCCAGAACTTGACGCCTGCGGTAATTCAGACCCGGAGCCAAGTGTTCTGGCTGCCTGCGCGCGGCCCCTCGACGCCGACGCTCTCCTCCCCATCGCCTGGCTTTGCGTTCTCTGAGCCCGCAGCCAAAAGAAGCAGGCAGCACATCGCCAGCGATGATTTCAGTGCGGGCAGACTGGCTGTGACTGCGGTGACCAAGCTGGCACCTCTGCTGACCTCTGGCTGTGTCAAGTGCCGTGCCATGCTTCATTACGCGGAGAAAGCGGAGGCTGTTTTCCCTGGAAGCGGCCCAACAACAGCTGTACTCCACTGTGGGGAAGTTTCATTAGACATTCGTAATCTTTGCCAGAAGCCGCTTCTGCAAAACCCTCAAATCAAAACAGGTAAACTCCAAAAAACTCGCAAACTCAATCTTTTAATCATAAAACAATTATTGCTTATCATTTTCTCCTTTTTGTTTTCAGATGAGGTTAGAGAAGACCTTCTGAGTCTGTTGACAGTTCTGGATAACTGGGTTTTGCGCATAGACTCTCCAGATTACAGCTTGGGTGACATAGATGGCTGGATCAAGAGGAGAGAGGGTTTTAAAAAGATAGATGTGAGTCCCGAGTATCTGCTTTTAGATTCTCCAGGATCTTCAGCTCCAATGCTGCTGCGCTGGCATCAGATAAACCCTTTCCAAGGGGATTTATCCATCCACAGCAGGTAAACCATTTCCACTGATTGATACAATCAAGAAAGCCAAATTACTGCCCTCAGGACAATGCACACACTGTAGCACTGTCGTGCTGGAACGTTAACCTTTGCCCCATTCTCAGGTCTTCTATCACCTATTGTCCCAGGATTGCCCTGTATTTAACTCCATCCATCTTTTAGTAAACTTTGACCAGCTTTAATCATTATATTCTCTTTATTTGCTAATTCTGAGCTACTTTGTTTTTGTCTATCACGTTATATCCAGTGAAGCATGTCGTACCATAAAAGAATTAAATGAGAAGGTTATATAATGCAATTAGAAAACTGTGACCATTAAGAAAAATGGCATTTTCAGAATATTCATTGGTCTAAAATACCAAAATCCTGCTAATGTGATTTAAAGCTATAAAATATCCAGAGTAGAGATTTCTTGTTCAGTTGTCGGCTGCAGTATCTCTACTGTGAGTATTAAATGATGCCGTTTTAATGGATGGATACAGAAAGGTAGCTCTGCTGAATTTCCATAAACACGTTCCAAGTTGACAAGCCTTTGAAGTTGGCTAAGGCGTACGTATGTGTGATATTCTCTCGAATATCAAAGAGATTTTGGTGCTCCTGCAAGCAGTGCTCTTAAAATTACAAATCCCACTAATGAATACTAGAAAGGTAGGTCTCTGGGAATCAGCTGACACTCGACGAAAAATGATAAAAAGGCTGTGTCACTTTTTTTTTTTTTTTTTTAATCCATCGCTGTGTGTATATTGTTGTAACATGCAAAATCTGTTTCTATCCCTCTTTTGCAGCCAATTACAAATGCTCCAGTTCTTGGACTCCATGCTGTCGTACCTCCCTGATTCCTGCTTCATTCAACCTGTCAAGCGCGCGAGAAGTCAGAGCGCGGCTCAAAAATTAGCTTGTGCTCTGGAGAAAGAGGTGCTGTCACTCAGAGAGGGCTTATCCTCACTTCTGTGTGCCAAAGATGAAGAAGAGAGAAACGAGGGGCGCGCTGGACATGGTGAAACCCCCGACTCTGGTTCTGCTGAGGATCTCGTTAGGTGTTGTAGGGAGGCGTGGCAGCAGAACGTGGAGAAGAACCGGTTGCGGCTGAACCCCGTGGTGGACGCCGGGAGGTATCGTGAGATGGTCCGAAGCATTTCACAAGTCAAGATGGATTCAGATTTGGCTGCTCTGTGTCAGCTGAATCAATCATAGGGACGGTTTCTGACCTTTTGTTACCCGTTTCGTCCACTTCAAAACCCCGACTCTAATAAACACAGATATAATAGATGTTTTTGTGTTTGGACTGGTCATTAAAAAAAAAAAAAAAAAAGGAGATGATGCTTCAGAGCTATTGTGAATCTTCACTGATATTTTGACTACTTGGTTTATGTGATAAGCTCCAAGTCTTTAAGGCTGGAAAGCCTCCGTCCCATCACCCTCATCTTCTGCTCTCTCCACTGATTCTTAAGTTGGGACCCAGGCTGAACCCCTCCAAAAGGTTAACGTCAACCCAGTCGGAAAAAAGAAACTGTTGGTAAAAATGCAACATTAATTTCAACCTAAATGTGGAAGGAATGTCAATTATTTTAGGCTTAACTGTAGGCCTGTACGGTATCTCAAATCTATATTTTTACTCTACTTTAATTATTTTCTCCGTGGTTCCTCTCATTCATTTCCTGTTTGTATTCCCTCATGTCAATTGGACATGAACTACTGTGCCCTTAAATTCAGTCAGTTATGCAACACGGAGAATTCCCCTTTTCCTCTTTTCATAAAGCATATGCTTCACACACATTAAGGCAACCAAAGCCACCAAAAAATACATGCAAATAATAATAAAAATAATAATAAAAAAAAAACCCACTAAATTGTGAAATGAGTTTACTCAGGCTCTTTAGGTTTGTTCAGGCCGGATGTTCAGTCCTCGTCTGTTGGATCACCTCGTGGGACTCGCAGCCCTAATCGGATACTGTCGTGATTCTGTTCCCTTCTTATTCGTTGCACATCCCTTTAGGCCCTCCGTGTTAAAAAGGCTTCTTTAATATCTGTAGCTGCTGCCTCTGCTGTGTGCTATTCTGCAGGGAATAAAGACTAAAGTTAGGGACGACAGGTCGTGGCAGGGAAAATCTTTATACATTTTCTGGCTGGTTGTATTTGCCCAAAAGCTTTTAGTGGTACTTTACCCCCATGGTCAAAGTATTTCACTCTTCACTGATTTAATAAATACATAAAAAAACAGTTTTTCTTTTGATGTTGTGCAGACCATCCTCACTGCAGTGATATTCAACTCAATACAGGAGTTAGATACATAAGGTCAGTGTCAGCTTGACCAGTTTGGCTTTAAAGGACGAATGTTTTTTCTTTTCTTTTCTTTTTTTTTTGCAGTTTGTGTTTACCTTTAATATAATTTCCATTGTTGTTTTGTAAGATGCATATTTTATTGCTGTTATCATTTTTCAGATCTGGATTAGTATGGGGAAAAGAAAAAAAGAAGTAAAGAAAAAATACAAATAGTTTTCAGATTTCTTTTTTCTGAATCTGTGAATGTCTTTTTGTAAATAAAGTGCTCTGACATTCTAGTTTAGATTTTTTCCCCCCACATAACCACTTCAAAATTAGTTCAACTCATTGATTATTCAGTTTTTTATTTACTGACGGAAAACCCAAGAACAATTTCATTAATTCGTATTAAAAAAGAAAAAATATTTAGCTGCCAAACAGCCTTGAAACTGCAGTTTTTGTTTTTTGATAGTACTTTTTCAAAAAGAATAGTCACACATGCTGCTTTAAAGAAAGCTCTGTACTTACTTACCGTCCAGATTTTATGAGTTTATATTTTATAGACTTGATATAGAACTAGTCCATGATATATTGGTCCACATCGTCTCTACGTGGATGCCTTCTTTTCCGCCTTTCATCCCACGTATGAATAACACACTCGCAGCTCTCTTTGGTGTGATAGTCACCTCTGTCACTTCACACAACAAAGGACAGAGTTGAAATTTAGCAGTAAACAAAACCAAGAAATAGCCCAGGGGGAAATGGATCTCATGTGGAGAAGAAATTGTATCTGAATCTGTGCTCTCTTTATGTCTTGACTGCCATCCAAATGAAATATTTGCTTTGTTTTCTGATTATCGTCCGTTAACGTGTATTCAGTCTGAATGGTAAGAGGATGCTGCAGGGTTTTCACCTGCTGAAACCTCCCCACCTGCCAGAGTCTTTGATTGTTTTGTGCGACTCATGGGAGTTGTTGCAAGCGGTCGGTATCTTACCTGTAACAAATAGCCCTCTGGATGACCTCTGCTTGATCACTTCTCTGGCCAGAGACTTAACCTGGTCAGAGTTGGGCATATTGTTGCCACATTACAAGAACAATTCTGCAGCAGTTGATGTTAATGATGATATTATTTTATTTTACTTTTTGACATATCTGGTTCCTAAATCCCAACTTTGCTTTAAAGTATTGGTTATAATTTGTACTTTGTATTTGGCCCTGTCCGTCTTCCTGCCAACTCTGACCCGTTTCCCTGTCTCTGCTTAAGAAACTCATCACCACAGCATAATGCTGCCACCACTACTTTTAACCATGTGGACTGAGTGTTTACGGTGACATGCAGAATTAGTTCCACCCTAAATATAGAGCGTTAGATGTACACCATGAAGTTAAATTTTGGTTAAATCTGTTTGGAGCGCTTTCTTCCGTACGTTTGCTGTGTTTCCTACATGACTTGTTGCAAACTGCAAACTGAGCTTTTAGGCGCTTTCATTCAGACAAAACATTAAAACTGGTGCATTTACATAAAGGTATTAAACAGCAATGGACATTTTGTTCCTTAAATACTACGCCATAAATTCATTCACTCAGTTCTATGTTTCAACTACAATTTAAAACTGCAGATCCTGTTCTCCATGCAATTTGAAGTTGGTTTCTTTTTTTATTGTTGCTTTGGAGAGACTAATCAGTTCTTATCCAACACACACA